CATGTAACTTTAGAGAGAGAGGGTAAAGTGTAAATGTACTTATAACTACTATTAAGATTGGAAGCCACTTCTTTATTACTTTTTCTTTTCTATTTATTTTGCTTTATGACGTTTTCACTATTACTTTATTACTTTTCCCTATTTTTTTCTCTTCAATTCAAAAATTTATATTGTTTTTATTCTGTTGAAAGCTTCTTTAATAAAAATTATTTTTAAAAAGAGAGTAAGTTCACTCATTCTATGTGACAACCCTTCCACTCTTTGAAGACTGCTTTTGAGTCTTGGTCGTATTTTCCCCCTCGCTGAACATGCCCAGATACTTTAACTGTTCTCGCAGGTTGGTTTACAGACTCTTCACTATCTTGGTGAGCCCTCCTCTGAACTTCCTCCAATTGGTCACTATCCATTTTGAACTGTAGTGCCTAGAACTGAATAAGTTATTCCAAATGGAGAATGGCCAGGGCAGAGCAGAACAATTACTTCCTGTGATCTGGACTCTATGCTTCTATCAATGCATCTCAAAATAGCCTTTCCCACTGCTGGCTTATGTTTAATTTCTGGTCAACAAGGACATTGTGATCTCTTTCACAATACTATTGCCAAGCCAAATCCCCCCACCCTATACCCAAGACAAATATCTTGCATGAGTGATAAAAGAATGTCCTGACTGTTGATGGACCGGGAACTGGTTCTTTTGCTGTACCAACAATTGCTAGAAATAAAATGCAGGATGGTGTAAACAAAACAACATAAACTCCTTAGCTTTGTTTCATGGGCTAGGCTCCTGCGGGGTGTAATATAATGAAAGCAATTTCTGGCTGCAGCATCACTTAGTGCTATCAGAGTGGAATAAATACTGAGCTAGCCTTTCTTTGATGGGAAGAATCAAGGAAGAAGCTGCGGTGGCTCCCTTTGGTTCCGTTAGCTCACCAACGTAAGAAAAGCCAGTAAAATGTGCTGAGTAGTAACTGATGGATAACGAAGCCGGGACATTTAATTACTGGTATCCTAACAAGTGGAATTAAGATGTGCTGGGACTGAATTCGAGATGTTGCTCCAACATGAACCAGGTTTCCAGTCCGTAAAACCCTCTCAGTGTGGCTGCAAAGACAACAAAAGGCCCATCGCTGGGAGATTTAAATCTCAAGAGCCACATCAGAATCTGGTGGACGAAGAAATGGCCCAGTCCGTGGACAGCAAAGAGCTAGTGACCACAGTGAGGCTTCTACTATCGAAACAAGGTTACAGACTTCATTTATTCATGACTGGGGGAAAAAACAGTGGCCCTGTCCTGCTGAAGTGTAGAAATACTTTCCCTGTCCTCCTTGCTTCTCTTGCAGGCTGCTGTGTCACACTGAAGTCCCCTCAATAGAATCTGACAACGGATCCTTCTTCTTGTCTTCAGGCTTCATGGCTGGAAACAGCAGCACTTCCTGCAAGAAGAGAGGCATTTCTAATCGCTCAATGGAGCTTCTTTTCCAAGGAAAGATCTCATCAGAAATCTCCATGGCCTCCTAAGCATTATTTCCACCTGACATCTTTTAAGAAATGCTATGCTTTCCACTAAGGGAATGTATCTCCACATTCACAAACACGTTTTCAGCTAATTAGCTCTCATAGGTGCACGCCTTGAAGCACAAGGATTGAGTCCCCTTCCTTTTGTGTGAACACAGCAGCAAAACTAAAACGGCTGCCTCAAAATATCGGAAGCAGCCCATACACCATGCAAGCAGGCCCTGAATAGGTAGCAAGCACTCACCTATGTAACTCCACAGAGCTTACCTTAATATTGTTTGAATCAGTCAAGAACATGGTAAGACGGTCAATGCCCATGCCCCAGCCAGCTGTGGGGGGCAGCCCATATTCCAGAGCCATGCAGAAGTTCTCATCAATAAACATTGCCTCATCATCACCAGCAGCTTTTGCCTGGATTGGAAACGGACAGAAAGGCAAGGATCATCCACGGAGCCAGTCAGGGCAACTGGAGCATAGGGGGAGGAGGTTAGGGTTCACTTATAACCTGTCAGGCCTAGCCCAAGGAACTCCAAGAGACAATGCAGATTCAGTTCAGCTATGTTTATTAGCTACAACCTCTAGCAAGATTCTTCCCAGACTGAACCCCAACCTCCCAAGCCAGCCAGCCACACCAGTGTGAATTCCTCAGGAAGGTGCCAGTCTCATCCTCTTGTTGCTCCCACACTCCTCCGGCGAGCTAAGAAAATGTTTA